ATGTTATGCTAATCTTAATTGTCTATTATGACTATTTCTTCAACATTTACAATTATAGTTAATGTAATCATACCAAATTTCGATAAGAATTATATTAAAATAAACGGAAATTGTATCTAGAAAATACATTGATTTTTTTGTTTCAACGATTGAATCAATTCTAGCTTTTTATATTTTTTGAATGATAGAATGTATATTTCTAAAGGTTATAAATATGATCTTCGATATAAATCGAGAAAAGGTTAATCGGTTGTAAAAAAAAAAGTAAGTTTGGCCCATTAAACTTTCGTTGAGTTATTTATAGTAAAAAAAAGAAACTTTATTCTTTCGAAATCAATTTCACATAATCATATTAATTGAGAAATATTTATTGAAATTTCAAATTATTAGCGGATAAATGATTTGGTTTGAGTGAATCAAATTATTGCAATCTTTAAATTTATACATACCAATAAGATCAACTAGTAAAAACTTAACTAAAATAATAAAACAGATTAGAGACGACACAGCGTTACGTGACTTCACGCTCCGCTGCTTAAACAAGAGATTGTTTTATATCTTACATACTTTAATTTATTTTCTGCGTGGTATACTCAAAATTCTCGTACAAATAAAAAAATAAATAATTGTATTGAAATTTCTATAGATAATATTCAAAAATTTGAAATTGTAGATTTTAATAAAATACATAAAAACATTAAACATACGATTTTTTCTGATTAAATTTGTCATTTAATGTAAAATACCTGTCACTCGAAATTATCGCTTATGTCACCAGAGCACCTTTTTTTGTGTCTCATACCTTTTGCTTCTGTTTTTTTAGTGACGATGCACATTTTCTTACTGTATAAGAATATCCATGTGCTATAATAGATGAAGAAAAAAAGGTGTTTATTCATATTATTATGATTGCAAAAATATTTTGTTTTTGGCGTACCTAGGAAAAAATATATCTATTAGCTTACATTGTATGATTGCGCATATTGAAGAATGGCGAATATTGACAAATTCCAAACTGTTTATAATAATAATAATAATGAGCAAATGAAGAAAAAAAATACAACAAAAGTTGTAATAATTACATCAGTGAACGATGATGTTGATGAAAAGAATTTACTTTCATGTTTAAATTCTATAAATGGTAAAAATATTTTTGTTAATTTAAATAGTAATAATAAACGATCATCATCATCATCTCAATTGGTATAAATATATATTATATATTATTTATCTTAATAATTATTATTTTATGTAGGAAAATGGAAATATTAAACGACGTAAAGCAGATTTAACATGTGTTATTTGTGAAGGTCATGCTTATAATTATAATTTTGGCCAAATTACATGTGAATCATGCAAAGGTTAGTGTTTATTTATAAATAAAAACTATCTTATTTTCTTTTTGTATTTCGTTTTAGCGTTTTTTCGTCGAAATGCTTTACATTTAATAGTAAATATTATCTTCGTTTTTATTTTAAAATTTTATTATAATTATAGGAAAATACAAAATGTCGTAATTCAAATAATATTCGATGTAATATTCGTTATGATATTAAACAAAAATGTCAACGTTGTCGTTTACTTAAATGTTTAGAATCTGGTAAATAGATTTAGTAATTTATTTCTCATTCATATATAATTAAAAAATAATATTAAGGTATGCGTAAAGATCTTATACTGACACCAGAGAAAAAATTATCAAAAGAAAAATGTCTTGAAGAAAATCGTCGTATTAAATATATTCAAATTAATAATATGCATGAAGAAAATACTGAAGAATCGTCTAATATAAATATTAATGATAAATTAGTAATAAAGATTTTTTATTATAGAATTAAAATTCAGGTTTTCTTTTGTTTAGATAGATAATAACATTTCATATGAACTTAGTGAAAATGATTGGCTTTGTATATGTAATATTCAAGGTGCATATTCATCTTCATCAAGATCCGTTCCATCAGCTTCATCAATGCTTTCACTTGAATTAACATTTGATAAAATGTCAACATATATGAATACATTAGATATATACCATTCCACTATGATTAAAATAATTAACTTTTTAAAACAAATTCCAGATTTTGAACAACTTAATGATAATGATCGATTAATACTTGTTAAATATAATCTTTGTTCACTTATTCTTGTACGTGATTCATTAACATTTGATACAACACGTGAACTATGTTATGAAGATGATGGTGATGATAGATATAATTCTATGTCATCGAATAATAAAGCATTTGCTGAACGATGTAAAAGTTTATTTATGCTTTGTTATAGTTATGAACTAAATCAATTATTTTTCAATATTCTTCATACACTTCACAGTTTAATTGATAATGATCCAGTTATTGTTCAATTATTAATGCTTAGTATGATATTTTTAAAAGGTTCATCATGTCTTGAACGTCAGGAACCAATATTAGATGATAGTAAACATGTGTTTTATTTGCATTCGAAATATACTGATTTACTTTTTCGTTATTTAATTAAACAATCATCATTCAATACTGCTGCTATGAAAATGATGCATTTTGTTGAAGTATTTATGAAATATCAACGATTATCTAAAGATTTTCATCAAGAAATAAAAAGCAAAGTTGATGTTGAGAATATCAATCCCTTTATGAAATCATTTCTTCATTTTGCATAACAATTTTTTTTTTCTTTTTGCTTTAAATAAAATAATTCGATTGGCTTGTTTTTTAAAATGTATATTTCGAATCAAATAATTACTAAAAAAATATCATTATTAATAAGTATTGTATGAATGGCATTATTGAAATATTCTCAATACTATAAATGTTCAATAATCATTTTTGTATTTTGTGAAATACTAATAAGGGAATCTTCCCAACTGCCACGTCGCTTCTTCGGTAAAATCTACTAGGTTCTAGCTTATCGCCCTTGCTGATTCCAAATATGACCATGGGAAGTGCCCTCAGGCCCTTATAGGGTGGTTTTCTGGAAAATCCGTTTCCCTAAAACAACATCTTTTTTACTAAATTTTGTTTTTTATTCGCTAAGATTACAGAGCGTATCGAATTATTTTTGAAACAACAACTCTTTCTGTTTCAAACAGAATATTCGAGAAAGTACAGCCAAGTAAATCCATAAAACAGGTGCACATCATAACGATTGAATACCAAAATACAAAAGTTTATATTGTTTGACTTAGAGTTCATTTTTGTAAAACACGAAAAACTGTCATATCATAATCAGTTCGATATACTCCATAATTTAAGCGAATATAAAACAAAATTTAGTAAAAAAGATGTGGTTTTTGGAAACCGGTTTTGTAAAAAACCACCTTATAAGGACTTAAGGACACTTTCCGTATTCATATTCGGAATCAGTATAATCGATAAGCTAGGACCCAATAGGTTTTACCTAAAAAGCGATTTGGCAGTTAGGAAGTTTCCCCCGTCAGACATACATACAGAGAGGGCTGACGAGGGAAAGTCCCCAAGTGTGAATCGTCGTTTTGAATCGAAGGTATACCAATTGATAGAGCTCAATAAGAATAGTAAAAGCCTAAAAGGGTTTGTACCCATGCCGCGTGCTTCTTAAGTTCAGGCTGATTTACTGGATTTTCGATCACAGATCGCTTTCATAGTCATTAGAATGTCCTAAAAATCTCAGCTCGAAAGAATGTTTTCTTCTTGAGATATTGGGCGTTAAAATCATCTGATTCACTGACCTTTGCTTGTGGCACATGATCATTTTTTAGATATTCAATATCTCAAGAAGCACTCGGCATGGGTACAAACCCTTTTAGGCTTTTGCTAGTCTCATTGAGCTCTATCAATTGGTATACTTTCGATACAAAATGGCGATTCACACTTAGGAACCTTTCCTCGGAAGTGAGAATATCTCTTAAAGAGCTCAAATGCGGATTATAAAATGAGCTATTTTTCATTTATAAGTCCAATAATTCTTCGCTGTTTTTGATCAGATCATTGAAATATTGATTGATCGAAGAAAAACAAATCTTCTTCAC